CCAACCTTAAAGGTGCCTAATTTGAAAATCACTGTTCTAGATCAGTGGTGGCGAACCTATGGCACGGGTGCCAGAGGTGGCACTCAGAGCCCTCTCTGTGGGCACATGCGCCGTCTCCCCAGTCCTAGGCCTTCAGCTGGGTTTTATAAAACCTTTTCGCTTTAGGCCTCTGCCGCTGTGTACAAAAAAAAAAGGTTCAGTCAATCAGTCAATTTCAACTTCTCGCGGGGGAAAAAAAATCTCGCAAAGTTGGCATTGATTGATTGAACTTTTTAGTCCCACCCAGTCTGCCATTACCACCGCAGCCACGCCCAGCCAATAGGCCACGCCCACCCAATGGGCCACACCCACCCGGCACCCGACGATGCATAAGTGGGTTTTGGGTTGCAGTTTGGGCACTCGGTCTCTAAAAGGTTCGCCATCACTGTTCTAGGTTATTCAAGTCTATTGCCAATGTTGCTAACACGAGTTAACCGGGCAGGAAATAAATAAATAAATACGGGTTGTCCTCGTTTAACAACTGCCCCGTACAGCAATCTTTCGTCCTTATGACGAAAAAGCAACTTTGCCACCAGCCCTTGCAAATTATAGCCTTTGCGAGAAAGCGGAAGTCAGATCGTGAACGTTGTGTGATGTTTCACTCCGGAACCGCGTCGCTTAATGGCCAAGCTACCGGTTTCAACTGGGGTTGCTAAATGAGGGCGACCTATAATTGGCTGGCTTCGTTTAGATTCTGAGCTGCCCTGTGCAATCAGAAGTAATCCGATATTTGGAAACGGAAACGATCCGGTTGTTTGATCTACCTTCTGGATCATCACGATGTAGATTCCCGTCTGCTGGAGGCCTCGGGTGTAGTAGAGCGTGTTCACCCAGCCCAAAAGTAAGGCGAACACCATGGGCAGCACGTATTGTTCCACATCTGCAAAGTACATCACGGATGAGGTCAGGATGGCAAACGCCTGCACAAATCTGCCAGGGCCAGAGAGAGAAAGAGAAGCAGAGAAGAGCTACTGAAATAACAACAACAACAACAACAACAACAACAATAATAGTAAAGTTGGAAGGGACCTTGGAGGTCATCTATTCCAACCCCCTGCTCAGGCAGGAAACCCTATACCATTTCAGACAAATGGCTGTCCAGTCTCTTCTTAAAAACTTCCAGTGTTGGAGCATTCACCGCTTCTGGAGGCAGGTTGTTCCACTGGTTAATTGTTCTCACTGTCAGGAAGTTTCTCCTTAGTTCTAGATTGCTTCTCTCCTTGATTAGTTTCCACCCGTTGCTTCTTGTCCTGCCTTCAGGCGCTTTGGAGAATAGCTTGACTGCCTCTTCTTTGGGGCAGCCCCTGAGATACTGGAAGACTGCTATCCTGCCCCCCTCGTCCTTCTCTTCATTAAACTAGACATACCCAATTCCAGCAGCCGTTCCTTATATGTTTTAGCCTCCAGTCCCCTAATCATCTTTGTTGCTCTTTTCTGTACTCTTTCTAGAGTCTCAGCATCTTTTTTACATCGCGATGACCAAAACTGGATGATTAAAGGCCTGAAGACAAAACATATGAAGAACGGTTGCAGGATTTGGGTTTGGCCAGTCTAGAGAAAATAAGGACCGGTGTGTTTGTGTGTGTGTGACATGAAAGCAGTCTTCCAATATTTGAGAGACTGCCACAAAGAAGAGGGGTCAACTTATTTTCCAAAGGACTAGAAAGCCAGACAAGAAACAATGGATGGAAACTAATCAAAGAGAGAAGCAACCTGGAATTAAAGAGAAACTTCCTGACAGTGAGGGCAATTAACCAGTGGAACAGCTTGCCTCCAGAAGTTGTGGGTGATCAATCACTGGAAGTTTTAAAGAAGAGATTGGACAACCATTTGGTCTAGGGTCTCCTGCCTGAGCAGGGGGTTGGACTAGAAGACCTCTAAGGTCCCTTCCAGTTCTATCCTGAATTTTGGAAATGTAATTGTCAACGCTGCAAATGAATTTGGCCGAAGCCGTTTCCACTTCGTCTTCAGTTGCCACAGAATTCGGAGGGGGGAATGTGTACTTTTAAGGTTAGACTAAACAATAAATTGTCCTGTGGGAACCAAGGTCATTGCTGCCTGAATTTTAGCAGGCTGAAGCTTCCGTTAGAAAGCCCGCCAAAGCAGTTAATTGGGGAATGTGATTTATGACATATTACTGGGGTGGGAAATTCAACGTTGCAATCTTTGGCAGGGAACTTCAGTCTTGGTTTCACTTTTGAACGTGCCGATACTCTGTAGCCAAATAAATATATAATAAATAAATAATAGAATAACCAAGGAGAGAAGCAACCTAGAACTAAGGAGAAACTTCCTGACAGTTAGAACAATTAACCGGTGGAACAACCTGCCTCCAGAAGCGGTGAATGCTCCAACGCTGGAAGTTTTTAAGAAGAGACTGGACAGCCATTTGTCCGAAATGGTATAGGGCAATGATGGCGAACCTTTTAGAGACCGAGTGCCCAAACTGCAACCCAAAACCCACTTATGTATCGTCGGGTGCTGGGTGGGTGTGGCCCATGGGGTGGGCGTGGCCCATGGAGTGGGCATGGCCCATTGGATGGGTGTGGCTGCGGTGGTAACGGCAGACTGGGTGGGACTAAAAAGTTCAATCAATCAATTCCAACTTTGCAAGATCTTTTTTTTCCCACGAGAAGTTGAAATTGACTGATTGATTGAACCTTTTTTTTTTTTTAACACAGTGGTGGAGGCCTAAAGCAAAAAAGGTTTTATAAAACCCAGGACTGGGACAACAGCACACGTGCCCACAGAGAGGGGTCTGAGTGCATAGGTTCGCCACCACTGGTATAGGGTTTCCTGCCTGAGCAGGGGGTTGGACTAGATGACCTCCAAGGTCCCTTCCAACTTTATTATTATTATTATTATTATTATTATTATTATTATTATTATTATTATTATTATTATTATTATTATTATTATTATTATTATTATTATTATTATTATTATTATTATTATACCTCTTGTCTTGGAGTTCTGTTTTTACGGGTCTCATCTATCAGAACTATGACATTAATGGTAAGTATGAATGACCTTGAGAGAGTTCACTACAGTTTAGGGCAGAGTTTCCCAACCATTCGGGGTTGGCGGACCAGAGCAGGGGGAGGAGGGAAGGGAGGATTTGGGGTGGGGGTGAATGCATGCACATGCATATGTATGTGCATGAGCACCCATTGCTCGCATGAGTGGCGCCGTGAACCCCCATGGTGCTTGCGGTAATGAGTCAGCTGTCAAAGCAAGAACATCCGATGTTAGCTGCGCTGCTGTGAACAGAGTTATTGTAAGCCACCTCTGCAAAAGGGAGGAGATCGGTCCAGTTGGTCTGTTAGTAAGAAACATAACATCTGAGATATTGCTCCACCATCTGGTTAGCGGCTTCTGTGGCCCCATTAGTACAAGGCTTTTCAACCAGTGGTAGGGGTATCACCTGTGGCACATTGGCACCTGGCAGGTGGTACGCGACCATCCTAGAAAAGTGGTAGTGGGGGAGAGGAATGAGCTGAACCTGTAGCAGCACTGCACAAGCCTGAGCGAGAGACGGCTGGAGCTGCAGGGCTGTCAGGGCTCAGCAGAAGCGCCAGGATCAGTGCCGCTTTCCAGCTGATCGGTGCTTCTTCGGGGCTGTCAGGGCTCAGTGGAAGTGCCAGGATCAGCGCCAGGCTCCAGCTGGAGCTCGGCGCTGATCCTGGTGCTTCTGCTGAGCCCTAAAGAAGCACTAATCAGCTGGAATGTTGCGGCATCTCCAGGGTCTTGTGATCTACATTCAGATGCTTGGCAACTGATTCATATTTATGACGGTCACAGTGTCCCAGGGTCATGTGAAGTGACCAAAACCTGCTGCAACCACCCAGCAGACGGGGGGAATAAAAACCAAACACCCCCCCACCCCATCCCCGCTGCCAATCCCCAACAGAAATGCTCACAATGAAAACCTCGGACAGGAGGAAGAGCGCCGCCGGGCGGGCAGGCAGGGGTCTTGCTCGGCTGTGGCTTGGGGGGCACTTTTTTCAGTGCTATTGTAACTTCGAACAGTCACTAAGCGAACTGTTGTAAGTCGAGGACTACCTGTACTTTATCACTTTTTTCCTTTTTTTTTGGTCATCAAGTTTTTGACCCCTTGCTAGGCGACTGGTGGTACTCGGATATTGCCTTATCCTAAAAGTGGTACAGTGGGTGAAAAGGTTGAAAAGCCCTGGGCTAGAAGACAGGTGAAAAGCAGATGATAGACCTCGAGATCATCCAATTAATTTAAGAAGTTCTTTGAAGAGTTTCATCTGTCGGAACCATGACACCAGCCACTCATGCGGTCCGGTGGCAGATAGGCTGCAGCTCAGAGGTTGGTGACCCCTGGTTTAGGGAATGAACAGATAAGAGAGGACAAAGCCCACAGCTGTATAACGGGCAGAGAAAGAAAACACAGACAGGAGGGTCCCTGTTTTCTCAAACTGTATAAAGCGTCAGTGGGAGATTTGTACTTACAGGCCTGCAAGATTCCGTTAATGCAGCTTTACAATAAAGTAGAATTAGCTCACCTGATCATGTTTTCTGGGTGGTTTACCAAAGATATAAAACCCCACTGGGTGATTTTGGGCCAATCACTAGGAGATGGAGAGTTCTAGTCTCACCTGTAAAGCTGGCTGGGTGACCTTGGACCAATCCTTCTCTGTCAGCCCAGCCCACCTCACCGTGTTGTTGTAGTAGGTAAAATAGGAGGAGGAAGGAGTAAAGTATTATGTATGTTCCCTACCTTGAATTATGTATAAAAATAATGAAGGTGGGATAAAAAGAAAGAGTACAGAGAAGAGCAACAAAGATGATTAGGGGACTGGAGGCTAAAGCATATAAGGAACGGTTGCTGGAATTGGGTATGTCTAGTTTAACGAAGAGAAGGACGAGGGGGGACATGATAGCAGTGTTCCAATATCTCAGGGGCTGCCCCAAAGAAGAGGGAGTCAAGCTCTTCTCCAAAGCACTTTCTGAAGGCAGGACAAGAAGCAACGGATGGAAACTAACCAAGGAGAGAAGCAACCTGGAACTAAGGAGAAACTTCCTGACAGTTAGAACAATTAACCAGTGGAACAACCTGCCTCCAGAAGCGGTGAATGCTCCAACACTGGAAGTTTTTAAGAAGAGACTGGACAGCCATTTGTCCGAAATGGTATAGGGTTTCCTGCCTGAGCAAGGGGTTGGACTAGATCAGGGCTTTTCAACCAGTGGTAGGGGTACTACCTGTGGTACATGGGCACCTGGCAGGTGGTACGCGACCATCCTAGAAAAGTGGTAGCGGGGGAGGGGAATGAACTGAACCGGTGGCAGCACCGCACAAGCCTGAGCGAGAGACGGCTGGAGCTGCAGGGCTGTCAGGGCTCAGCAGAAGCGCCAGGATCAGCGCCAGGCTCCAGCTGGAAAGCAGCACTGATCCTGGTGCTTCTGCTGAGCCCTGAAGAAGCACCGATCAGCTGGAATGTTGCAGCATCTCCAGGGTCTTGTGATTTACATTCAGATGCTTGGCAACTGATTCATATTTATGACGGTGACAGTGTCCCAGGGTCATGTGAAGTGACCAAAACCTGCTGCAACCACCCAGCAGATGGGGGGGAATAAAAACCAAACACCCCCCACCCCATCCCCGCTGCCAATCCTCAACAGAAATGCTCACAACAATTAAAACCTCGGACAGGAGGAAGAGCGCCGCTGGGTGGGCAGGCAGGTGTCTTGCTCGGCTGTGGCTTGGGGGGCACTTTTTTCAGTGCTATTGTAACTTTGAACAGTTACTAAGCAAACTGTTGTAAGTCGAGGACTACCTGTACTTTATCACTTTTTTCCTTTGGGGGGGGTCATCAAGTTTTTGACACCTTGCTAGGCGACTGGTGGTCCTCGGATATTGCCATATCCTAAAAGTGGTACAATGGGTGAAAAGGTTGAAAAGCCCTGGACTAGATGACCTCCAAGGTCCCTTCCAACTTTACTATTATTATTATTATTATTATTATTATTATTATTATTATTATTATTATTATTATTATTATTATTATTATTAAAAATAAATATAAGGTGAACGTAACAGGAACATCTCTGAAAAGCAAAAGCGACTGACAATTATATATGACAGCAGTTAGGATCTGGAATCAATTAGCGGTAAGAGTGGCGCATATTATATAGCTAATCCTTCCAGAAAAACAGCAACGTATACGCACGTACAGGAATATTTCAAAGCAACTGTCCACTACAAGACTTTTCCACGAGAAGCGTCTTCTCCAGAAGTAAAAACTCTAAAAGGGAATAAACAGGGAGAGAAGTCAGAACACTGCATTATGACAGGGATGTGGGAAGGGGTGTGCAAGACCGGGTTCACACTGGCTAATTGTTAATTTTGGGGAGATTTTGCAAGGCTCTTGAGAGTGGAGATGAGCTACTTCCACCTAGCGTGCCAGTCTGCACTTAGATAGGAGCCAGCTGTGTGCTGCAGCTGCCAAAAAAGCCAAAACAGTGCTAGGCTGCATTAACAGAGGGATAGAATCAAGATCACGTGAAGTGTTAATACCACACTTTACAAGGCCTTGGTAAGGCCACACTTGGATTACTGCATCCAGTTTTGGTCACCACGATGTAAAAAAGATGTTGAGACTCTGGAAAGAGTACAAAGAAGAGCAACAAAGATGATTAGGGGACTGGAGGTTAAAACATACAAGGAACAGTTGCTGGAATTGGGTATGTCCAGTTTAATGAAGAGAAGGACGAGGGGGGACATGATAGCAGCGTTCCAGTATCTCAGGGGCTGCCCCAAAGAAGAGGGAGTCAAGCTATTCTCCAAAGCACCTGAAGGCAGGACAAGAAGCAACGGATGGAAACTCATCAAGGAGAGAAGCAACCTGGAACTAAGGAGAAACTTCCTGACAGTTAGAATAATTAACCAGTGGAACAACCTGCCTCCAGAAGCGGTGAATGCTCCAACACTGGAAGTTTTTAAGGAGAAACTGGACAGCCATCTGTCTGAAATGGTATAGGGTTTCCTGCCTGAGCAGGGGGTTGGAATAGATGACCTTCAAGGTCCCTTCCAACTTTATTATTATTAGTTCATGCCATGGCATGGTGGCAGCAATCTGTTGAGAAGAGGGCTTCTTAAACCTTTAACCGCAGACCGCTGGTCCCATATCAATTGCAGAAATGCAAATATGAATACAGGTTGTCCTCATTTTATGACAATAGGGACCAGAAAAATGTGTCATTAAACAGTGAGGTTGTTAAGCGAGATACCCCACGATTTCAATTTACCATCTTCCCTCCTGAATGTCAATGGAGATTCTCTGTCCTCCAGGTTCATGGTTATCCCAAAGGTGCTTTTTTCACGAGGCAACTGGACTTTCTTGTTTTTCTTTGAGGACGTTTCACTTCTCATCCCAGAAACTTCTTCAGCTCTGACTGGATGGTGGGGAATGGAAGGATTTATACTCCTTGCAGACAGTTGGTCATTTGCCTTCTTTTGGAGAGTCGTTGAGGCCACCTGGAGACTTATCTGTTTCCTCCGGGTCCCCTGAGTGGGTGCAAATGGGTGTGGAGCCTACTTGGAACTGCGGAAAGGACCGTGTTGTAGTTACTAGAAGAGTCCTCTCCAAGAAGTTCCAAGTAGGCTCCACACCCATTTGCACTTCTCAGGACATAGATAAACCTCCAAGTGGCCTCAATGACTCTCCAAAAGAATGCAAACGACCAGCTGTCTGCAAGGAGTATAAATCCTTCCATTTCCCACCATCCAGTCAGAGCTGAAGAAGCTTCTGGGATGAGAAGCGAAACATCTTCAAAGGAAAAACAAGAAAGTCCAGTTGCCTCTTTAAAAAGCATCTTTGGGATAATCTTCCCTGCTGGCTTTGACTTTCCTTGTCGGAAGCTGGCTGGAAAGGTCACAAGTGGTGATCACATGACCACCCCCCCCAGGATGCCGAAACCATTATAAATACAAGCCGCTACCTAAGACTGCAATCTTCCGGTTGCTACAACAGTCATTGGTGCAAGTAAGACGCTTTTTCACTGCTATTTTAACTTCAAACTGTTCTTAAACAAATGGTCGTAAGTCAAGGATTGCCAGTACGTGGAGTTATGACAAGCACAATGCTGCAAACGCTGTTTGCAGGAGAGGCATTCCATCTTGACCACAATCGGGACTACAATTTCTCTTGCTAAGCAAAACGGTGGTTAAGTGAATCCCGCCCAGTTGTATGAACTTTTTTTTTTTGCCACGGTTAAGCGGCTCGCTGCAGTTGTTCAGCGAATCACGTGGTCATTAAGCGGATCTGGCTTCGCCCGCTGACTTTTTTTTTGTCAGAAGCCGGCTGGGGAAGCCTCAGATGGCGATCACGTAACCCCGAAATGCTGCAACCGTCGTAAACACACATGTTGCTAGCTAAGGTTGCAACTTAACAGTTGCTGCAACCAGTCAGCAAAGTCATAGGTGCCAGTAAGACCCCTTTTTTTCACTGCTGTTTTAACTTGGTTTGTTAAATGAATAGTCGTAAGACAAGGACTGCATCTATTAAAAATATGTTTGTGGTTAGAGGAGCTGTGAACGAAAAGGACACCTTACCTGAGCAATGAGGAGATAAATGCCACCAATCAAAATGAAGATAGGCCCAACAAGTCTTAATAAGTCCTTGATTGTCATTGTTGCTGGACGAGGAGGCTGTAAACACAGGAAGAGAACAGGCTAAGAACAGAGACTTCGGCACCGAGGAGATGGCGGATCCTTCCGGTCGGTGTTCCCCAATTTTGGCAGCTTTAAAATGAGTGGACTTCCACTCCCAGAATTCCCCAGCCAGAATACTTAAAGATGGGTGGACTACAACTCCCAGAATTCCCCAGCCAGAATGCTTTAAGATGGGTGGACTACAACTCCCAGAATTCCCCGGTCAGCCTGCTTTATGAGGAGTGGATTTCAACTCCCAGAATTCCCCAGCCACCCAGCTTTAAGATGGGTGGACTTCCACTCCCAGAATTCCCCAGTCAGCATGCTTTAAGATGGGTGGACTTCCACTCCCAGAATCCCCCAGCCAGCCTGCTTTAAGATGGGTGGACTTCCACTCCCAGAATTCCCCAGCCAGCCATGCTTTAAGATGGGTGGGCTTCAACTCCCAGAATCCCCCAGCCAGCTTGCTTTAAGATGGGTGGGCTTCCACTCCCAGAATTCCCCAGCCAGCTTGCTTTAAGATGGATGGACTTCCACTCCCAGAATTCCCCAGCCAGCCATGGGAATTGAAGTCCACGAATCTTAAACTTGACAAGATTGGGCAGCCCTGATCTAGATCTTCTATATTTCATCTGAAGTACCAGCATCCTTCTGTGCCATTTCCAAAGGGATAATAACCTCTTCCACACCATCACCCAAGTCATTGACGCAAATGTTGAATTACACAGGACCCAGGCCCTCTTCTCAAGGCTTCCCTCCTCTCTGAAATGACCACCTCCCCAGGTGCAAAACAGATAGCCCACTGGGCATTCCTCACTAGTATGATTTATATTTTAGCATTTTATGCAAGAGATTATCATGAGATAAAGGTTTGGAGGCTTTGGTGAGATCCCGGTAAACTATGTCTACAGCATTCCCCCTATCTACTAAGGGAAAAATTCTACCAAAGTTGGTGAAATTAGTCTTGCATGATTTGCTTATAATTTGCTTGGAAGGGCTTCCAAACATGTTATTTAAATAAAAGACATCAATGCAACTTGATCAAAACTTTGGAAACATATTCTTATTTTGGATTGATACCGTTATTAGTTTAAGTTTTTTAACCCTTCTTTTTTCCAGGAGTTCAATAAAGGCAGGCCTAGACTTAACAACAGTTTGTTTAGTGACTGTTCAAAGTTACAACGGCACTGAAAAAGGTGACTTATGACCGCTTTTCGCACTTACAACCGTTGCAGCATCCCCTTGGTCACATGATCAAAATTTGGACGCTTGGCAACTCACTCATATTTATGACAGTTGTAGTGTCCTGGGGTCACGTGATTCCCTTTTGCGACCTTCTGACCAGCAAAGTCAATGGGGAAGCCAGATTCACTTAACAACCAGGTTACTAAATTAACAATGGCAGTGATTCACTTAGCAACAGTGGCAAGAAACGGGACAAAACTCCCTTAACAAATGTCTCACTTAACAACAGAAATTTTGAGCTCGATGGTGGTCGTAAGTCGAGGACTACCTTTAGGTATTCTCCTTTTTTTGAGAGAGAGAGAGTTTGGTTGGACTTACAGAAAGGGTCTAACTCAAAGTCACCCCATTCCCTTTATCAAAAGCATCCATTTGTTTAAAGACGATTTACCTCGCCCTTTAGAGGCCTGTAGTAACCAGTGGCTGTGAAGACCAGCATGTAAATCAGATGGAGGAATAAACTGATGAAAAACCTTTTTCTAATGAAGGATTCCCACTTGTGCTGAAGTAGCTTGTTCAGAGGCTCCAGGACCACCATTTTGTACCGGTTCTGTGGAAGGGAGAATGTCAGGGAATTGAGCAGCTGCTGATGTACAAAATGGAATGGGAGATGCTGACACAAACTTGTAGTTTTATATAAATAAATATGTTTTACATCTACATAGATGCAGCAAACTAGATAGTAAGGCAAACAGAGGCATCATGCAATAAATCAACACAACAGGAACATCATGAGGTAAATCAACACAATAGGGGCATCATGAGGTAAATCAACACAACAGGAACATCATGAGGTAAAACATAGCAGGAGCATCATGAGGTAAATCACAGAGCACAAAAGGACGCTCAGAAGAAAAAGGTGGGAAAAAAGGGAACCTCCCCCTCCACACCCACAGCAACCAATCACAGCACAGATTGCCTCACATAGCACTCTCCAACAAATCAATTACAAGATGCAAATATTTCTTTTAACTAAGACAGTTGTTCTTCGTTGATAACAGAAGAATAGGAAGTAATCTGAGATCTACAGTATTAGATTATTACTTTTGAAGATGTGTGTATCCATCATTTTCCTCTCTTTTTCAAAATGTATCAACATGTGTGCATCTCTTTGCCTCAGGGGTATGTCTCCCACTATTCTTTTGGAAGGGACCCTCTCCGGTTTCTAAACTGTCAGGGAATTGCTCAGCCGGTGTCCAAATGAAGTCAGAGACACTGACACATACTTGTAGCTTTATATAAATAAATATATTTTACATCTACATATACAGCAAACAAGATAGTCAGGCAAACAGGAGCATCATGAGGTAAATCACAGAGCACCCAGAACAAAAAGGCGAGAAAAAAGGGAACCTTCCCCTCCACACTCACAGTAACCAATCACAGCGCAGATTGCCTCACACAGGAGCCAGCACTCTCCAATCAATCAACCACAACTGTGTGTTTTGGCTCACTGTACAATCCCACTGCTCCAGCTGTTGAATTTAAATAACTTAACAGAGAAGGAAGGGAGATTCAAAGCACACCTTCTCAGTTAGTACCATAGTCTTCAGTCCCCATTAGACCAGGGGTCTCCAAAGTGGTCGGAACTGAACCCCAGTTTGGAGACGCTTATGTTGTGTTGTGTTGCTGAAGTGTTTGGAGATACTGTCTAGATACAACCCCTATAATTTCAGCCCAGACCAGTATGGGGAAAGCATTGAATTTATCTAAACCCCCACATATAGAAACTGGATGAAAATAACACTGTCCTTTATTCCCAAAGCAGTTTAAAGAAAATAGAATAAAGCACCTTATAAATTCTAAAAAAAAATTATCCTGAGCCAACTTTTTCAGAAAGGGTTTTGCCCAGAAGAAGGAAAGAAGAATGGATGGATAGATGGAAGGAAGGAAGAAAGGAAGGAAGGAAGGCAAAAAAGAAAGGAAGGAGAAAAAAATGAAGGGAGGGAGGGAAGGAAGGAGAGAAGGAAGGAAGGAAGGAAGGAAGGAAGGAAGGAAGGAAGGAAGGAAGGAAGGAAGGAAGGCAAAAAAGAGAAAGGAAGGAGAAAAAGAGGAAGGGAGGGAAGAAGGAAGGAAGGGAAGGAAGGAAAGAAAGAAGGCAAAAAGAGAGAAAGGAAGGAGAAAAAGAGGGGGAAGAAGGAAGGAAGGAAGGAAAGAGGAAGGAAGAAGAGAGGAGAAGAAGGAAGAAAAGGACAGAGAAGATCCTGAGAAGGACCATTCCTGACTTGATCTACTCACTGGAGTGTTACTGCTGTAGGCCAGGATCTCCAGCACTGAGTTCTCCTCACAGGTGTCGATGGAGGTCAGATCATAGAGGGAGATGTGGATAGGACCATAAGTCCACTCAGTGAACTTGCGTGAAAGGTGCTGGAACTTGGGGTCCTTGATCTCTCGGTGGAGAATGTGCTTGAGGATCTGGGGAGACCAAAACACTTGAGTTGGTAACAGGGCTGTCTCTAGGGCTCAAGTCAAAATGATCTCAGTATCCAGCCATCATCTTGGCATTTTTGACCTTCCTGAAGTCACCTCTGATAACTAATCTACAGAATCAAAAAAAACCTTCTCCTAGAACATGATTCTCTTTGGAATTTATCCTCTTGCACCTGACTAGATCCACCACTCCTTTTTTCTACTCTATCTCCAAGATCAAGAAAATGTGAGAACGCACCCTGAGGTCAAGGTAACACACCGCAACATCGTCAGACAAATAATACGGTGAAGTACAGTTAGTCATCGACTCACAACCACAATTGAGCCCCCAATTTTCCGTTGCTAAGCAAGACAGTTGTTAAGTGAGTTTTGCCTCATTTTAAGAACATACTTGCCACCGTTGTTAAGTGAATCACTGCACTGGTTAAGTTAGTCACTCGCTTGTTAAGTGAATTTGGCTTCTTCATTGACTTTGCTTGTCAGAAGGTCACAATATTGATCACATAACCACAGAACACTGCAACCGTCATAAAGACAAGTCAGTTGCCAAGTGCCTAAATTTTGATCACGTGACCAAAGGGATGCTGCAATGGTCGTAAGTATGAAAAAAACGATCATCAGTCTCTTTTTTCAATGCCGTTGTAACTTCAAACGGTCACTAAACGAATATGTGTAAGCCGTGGACTACCTATCCCGGCAAGGAGGGGGACTACCTCGACTTTCCCAGTCTTCACGGCCAGCTTCAAAGGGGTCAGCTGCTTCCGGTTGACAATCTCTTCCAACTTGCAGGAAGTGTCGATCTCGGCCCCTTTCATGAGGATCTTGTCGTACATGTTGACCACGAGCTCGGTGTTCTTCTTCGTATCGTTGGCCACCATCACCAGCGCATGGAGGGCAGTGTTGCCTATGGAATCCTGTTCGTTCAGTCTGGCGTTCTGGTGAGGGTTTTCCAGGAGATACATGACGACCTCTGGCTGGTTGGTGCAAGCAGCCAAGGAGAGAGGAAGTTCACCTGGGAGAGAGAGAACGATGGGCCAAGGTTGCAATGAGCATCTAGATCAGGGATGTCCAACCTTGGGTACTTGGAGACATGGCTAGTTGGGGAATTCTGGGAGTTGATGTCCACAAGTCTTCCGGTGCCCAAGGTTGGACGTCCCTGATCTACAGTCAGTGGTGGGATTCAAATATGTGAACAATCAGTTCTCTGTGTGGATGCCGCTTCCGGATGTCCATTCTGGGCCTGGGCAACAAAGAATTAGCTACCGGTTCTGCCGAAGTGGTGCGAACTGGCTGAAATCCACCACTGTCTACAGCAGGGATGTCAAACTCAATTTCATAGAGGGCTGCATCAGCATTGCGGTTGTCCTTGGGGGGCTGGGTAGGTGTGGCCAGGGTGGGCATGGCCTACTGGGTGGGCGTGGCTGGAGTGGGTGTGGCCTACTGGGTGGGCATGGCCAGCTCTACATCATTTGCGTCAAGGGTGCCTGTGGGGGCCTGGGCAGGAGTGGGACAGATCTGAGAGTCTTTGGCACAAGGGGGTGGGACCAGGGCAAGCACCAAGGCATGGTCCACTGGAACAGCCTGCTGAAACCCCAAGCTGGATATGTGAAGTAGGCGAGGGCCATTTGCTGGCCACTTCCAGGCGATGGTGCATTTCTTCATTCCTCACAATGGGTGACACCTCCCAGCATGCACCCAGGGGGCAGGGCCGACATGGCAGGGGCTGGTTCCTCGCTGTTTCCAGATGGCCTTGTGGAGCTAAGACTGAATGCGTTTCAGCATAGATGGCCACCACAAAATTGTACATTGGCTCCCGGCCAGCTTGGGCCAGGGCCAAGGCAGCGGGGGCCGTTCCCTCACTGTTTCCAGGATGGCTTCGCGGGTCACATGAAACCACGTCACGGGCCGCATCCAGCCCCCGGGCCTTGTGTTTGACATTTCTGGTCTACAGTGTCCCCTGGAAAACATTTGTACAGTAAATGGATTCAATTTGCATTTTTTTGTACCATAGCATGCCTGACATAATTCTCTCTCGTGTTCAGCATCTAGACAGGGAGTCCTTGCTTAACAACCGCAACTGGGACCTGTAACTCCATCACTAAGTGCCACGAAACATCACACGACTGCGATGGGCCTACAAGCTCACTTCCCCTTTGGCAGTTAAGCAACGGGACTGCAATTTAGGATTTTACTTCTGCTTTCTGTATTCACTCTGCTTGTCACATGCGCCTATGTCCGTGGGAAGCCGCGACAGTTGTAAATTAGTCTTCCTTTAATCTTTCTTAATTTTAACTCTTTTATAGTCAAAACATACCGAGTATCAAAAAAGACGAGTACCATACACATTTTTCCCATAAGGAATAAGGTAGTGGGTCACAAGGCAGCCGACACCGACAAGTTCTAGCTCAGGGGTAGGCAACCTCGGCTCTTTTATGACTCATGGACTTCAACTCCCAGAATTCCTGAGTCAGCAATGCTGACTCAGGAATTCTGGGAGTTGAAGTCCATGAGTCATAAAAGAGCCGAGGTTGCCTACCCCTGTTCTAGCTTATGCATTGAGTACCAAACAAATGATGAGTACAAATTTCGGGTTAAAATACGTTGAGTACCCAATTCGATGAGTTTCATGTAAAAACTCATCTGGCCCTAAAAACGTCACTTGGCCGTAAAAACCTCTGTGGGTACCCACGTGTATTTCTGTGGAACGAAAACTGAGTTTTCTCTTGCTAGCCATACCGAAATAAAAGAAGGCCCCTTTGCGCTGGTGCTGGAAGAAATGACCAGAAGCTTTGGCGTGGACATCAGCCTCGTTCTCCACCAGGAGCTTCACAAGATCTAAGTTCCTCTTCTCGATGGCGATGTGGAGGGCTGTGTGGCCTGCAGAGATGGTGAAAAATGGCAGCGGAGAAAGATGGAAGGGTTATCCGGGGGTGTCTGGAAGTTTAGGTCAAAAGAGGCAAGATGGCGGCCGCCATAAGGCCATGTAGAAGAACCAAGAAGATGAAGAAGAATCAAGAGGAAGAAGGAGAACCAAGATGAAGAAGGAAGAGGCGGCAGCCAGAGAGAAGAAGGCAGCAAAAAGAAGGAAGGAAGGAAGGAAGGAAGGAAGGAAGGAAGGAAGGAAGGAAGGAAGGAAGGAAGGAAGGAAGGAAGGAAGGAAGGAAGGACTTCCAAACTATCCCAACTGTAGATCGACTTCCATCCACCCCACCCTACAAAGCAGAGTCCTCCACCCTCACCGTCCCAAGAAGGGGCCTTACCTTTGTAGTGGCTGTCAGTGNTGCCTACTTGGGTCATGAAATGTCTAGAAGAAAACCACCAAGCTCAGAGAGCACTAAGGACTCCACAGTCATCTTCCTCCTCCTCTTCCTCTTCTGCTCCCTCCTCCTCCTCCTCCTCCTCCTCCTTCCAACCCCAATTTGTCTTCTAGCACTGATGATGTTGCCCACTTGGGTCATGAAATGTCTAGAAGAAAACCACCAAGCTCAGAGAGCACTAAGGACTCCACAGTCATCTTCCTCTTCTTCTTCCTCCTCCTCCTCCTCCTCTTCCTCCTCCTCCTTCCAACCCCAATTTGTCTTCTAGCACTGATGATGTTGCCCACTTGGGTCATGAAATGTCTACAAGAACACCACCAAGCTCAGAGAGCACTAAGGACTCCACAGTCATCTTCCTCTTCCGCTCCCTCCTCCTCCTCCTCCTCCTCCTCCTCTTCCTTCTCCTTCCAATCCCAATTTGTCTTCTAGCACTGATGATGTTGCCCAGTTGGGTCACCTAATGTCTACAAAAAAACCACCAAGCTCAGAGAGCACTAAGGACTCCACAGTCATCTTCCTCCTCCTCTTCCTCCTCTTCCTCCTCTCCTCCTCCTCTTCACAACCCCCCTCCCTTCTAGCATTGATGATGTTGCCTAGCTGGGTCATGAAACGTCTGCAAGGAAACCACCCAGCTCAGAGAGCACCGGGGACTCCAGATTTCACCGCTGAGCTACAAAGATTCTCTTCTATTGGTAGCTTTATGAAGCTTATCCATTTTTTACACTGATGTAAAGTCACGAGAGTCAGCAGGGAGCAATAAGCAATTACCTCTATATTTAGTGTCGCTGAGGAAGCTGGACGTTTTCCGCAGATAATCGCTCAGGCCATTGAGCCGTTCAGGATCTCCTGCTACCACGGCCTGGAAAAGACGGTCCCTGTCGAAGCGATCCGGGTCATCCTGTCTGGAGAAGAGAAAAGAAAGAAAAAAGGTCCAGGAGGGATTTGGTCCTTCAGTCCTTTGGCTGGTCCATTTGCTCTCTAAAGATCTGCCCAGAAAGACCCTGGGCTCATCCACAGATCCCCTCATCCAGTGGGGGGCTGGACTAGAAGACCTCCAAGGTCCCTTTCTATTCTATTCTATTCTATTCTATTCTACTCTACTCTACTCTACTCTATTCCATATTTTCTATTCTATTCTATTCTATTCTATTCTATTCTATTCTATTCTATTCTATTCTATTCTATTCTATTCTATTCTATTCTAATATGATTCTATTCTATATTCTATTTTAATATTATTCTATTCTATTCTATTCTATTCTATTCTATTCTATTCTATTCTATTCTATTCTATTCTATTCTATTCTATTCTATTCCATTCTATTCTATTCCATTCCATTCTATTATCTATATTCCATTCCATTCTATTCCATTCCATTCCATTCCATTCCATTCTATTATCTATATTCCATTCTATTCTATTCTATTCTACTCTACTCTACTCTATTCTATTCTATTCTACCCTATTCTCTATATTCTATTCTATTCTATTCTATTCTATTCTATTCTATTCTATTCTATTCTATTCCATTCCATTCCATTCCATTCCATTCCATTCCATTCTATTATCTATATTCTATTCTATTCTATTCTATTCTATTCTATTCTATTCTATTCTATTCTATTCTATTCTATTCCATTCCATTCCATTCCATTCCATTCCATTCTATTCTCTATATTCCATTCCATTCCACTCCACTCCACTCTACTCTACTCTATTTTCCATTCTATTCTATTCTGTTCTGTTCTGTTCTGTTCTATTCTATTCTATATTCTATTTTCTGTTCTGTTCTGTTCTATTCATCCACTGCAGGAATATGCCCCAGTAACCATTTTATATGCTTTTATCTCATTCAGAACGGTAGCAGCTTCATGTTTGTCTGCAGGGCTGGCCCAAATGTTAGGCAATGAAGAGTTTTGGTTTCATGATCTTATTATCGGGCAGGTGATTTTTTTATTTCTTTGAGTGTGAATAGCAATAGCGTGACAGTCCCTGCCTGCCAAATTCTAATTTGTGGGACCTGACACACAAGGAAAAAGAGGTCAGGAGGGAGCAAGAATAAAGCAGCTTTTGATACCACTTCATAAAACCCCAAGTTGGGATCTAAACAGTTTTAAGTATTCTTGACGCTTAAGTTAAAACTGAGGATAGATCACCGTCAGTTTCTTGCTAAACAGATTTTATTTATTTTCTTTAATTATGAGAACTAGTGTGGTCTAGTGGTTAAAGCACCAGCTAGAAAGCAAGAGATTGTGAGTTCTAGTCCCGCCTTAGCCATGAAAACTAGCTGGGTGCCTTTGAGTAATCACCAGGTGACGGTGAGTTCTAGTCCCGCCTTAGCCATGAAAGCTGGCTGGGTGACTTTGGCCCAATCACCAGGAGACGGTGAGTTCCAGTCCTGCGTTAGCCATGAAAGATGGCTGGGTGACTTTGGGCCAGTCGCTCTTTCTCAGCCCAACTCAGAGGGTTGTAGTTATGGGGAGAATAGTAGAAGGAAGGTGCATTGGATGTGTTCACCATCTGGAGTTATTTCCAAAATAAAGAAGGCAGGAAACAAATGAACAAATAAATAATTGTGTTTCTGCATTACTTTAATGCTGCTGCATAAAAAATAACAAAGCAACCCATAAGCCTTTGACAGAGATAAATGCAAAGTTCTTTCTGGTCGTGAAATTCTGCAAAATAATTCCCTCCGGTACCAGGGATAATGACTTACTTTTTGGGTCCTGACAGATAATTCAGATTCACCCGAATCCGTGGGGAGGGGGGAGCTTCCTTCTGGAAGGGGGTGTCCAAGGGCCGCGGTCCATGCTCCTTCCCAGATGCCCCCGTGGCACCTGCGTTCAGATCCTCTCCAAGGCCGTCATCCGTCTCCAGGAAATAGCGGGATTTGTCCATCGTCCAGGATGGGAGGCTGGTAGGGTGACAGTGGCAGGTGGGCCGAGGGGTGACCCCAAAGAAATGGATGAGGAGGGGTTGTGGGGAAGAGGTTGGGCTAGACACCGGGGTCTGGGGGGCCAGTCCACTCTCTCTCAGCCCAGCCTTGTGGGGAGAAAATAAAGGCCAGGAAAAAAAGAAATTCGCAAGCAAAAAGAAAGAGGAGGGGAGGAGGAGGAGGAGGAGAGGAGGAGGAGGGGAGGAAGAGAAGGAGGAGGAGAGGAGAGGAGAGGAGGGAGAGGAGGAGGAGGAGAGACCATATAGGTCAGTGGTGGCGAACCTTTTAGAGACCGAGTGCCCAAACTGCAACCCAAAACCCACTTATGTATCGCTGGGTGCCGGGTGGGCGTGGCCCATTGGGTGGGTGTGGCTGTGGTGGTCATGGCAGACTGGGTGGGTGTGGCCAAGGTAGGCGTGGTCACCTTAATGTTGCTTATGGGGAGGGACACCTGTGAGGGCCGGGCAGGGTTGGGGGAGATCCAGGGGGTCTCTGGCAGGCAGGGCGGTGGGCAGGAGAATCGTCCTGCGCGGTGAGGCGAGGCAAGGTGAGGCAGGGCGGGGGTGTCATTGTCGCAAGGCAAGGCGAGCAAGGACGGCTGCTGCCTGACACCATCGGCCCCCGCACACAGAGGCCAGCGAGCGCATGGGGGCCGACAGTGTCCGTCAGCAGCCACAGCCTGCCAGCCCCTCGACCGGCGCACTCTGGGGCTCCGCAGCCCGCTGCCAGCAGTTCAGAGAAGCCACCTCTGAGCTGGACGGCCGTCCGACAGCTGAGGAGGCGATGCAGTGGGTCATGCCCGGGGAAAGGAGAGCATGCGAGGCCAGGAGGGATGGGACGGGGGGGGGAGGGAAACCAGCCGTGTTGGGATGCATCCGGCCATGTGGGACCTAGCGGTGGCTGGTTGAAGAGGGACGGTTGCCATCTCCGGGGCATGGCACACGTGCCCACAGAGAGGGCTCTGATTGCCGCCTCTGGCACGCGTGCCATAGGTTCGCCACCACTGATATAGGTAATCCTCGAATTACAACTGTTCATTTAGTTGTAATTAGTTCATTTAGTGACTGTTTGAAGTTACAACGGCACTGAAAAAAAGTGGCCTATGACCATTTTCCACACTTAACGACCGTTGCAGCGTCCCCGTGGTCACATGATCAAAACCAGACACTTGGCAACTGACTCACATTTACGACGGTTGCAGTGTCCCGGGGTCACATGATTCCCTTCTGCGACCTTCGGCCAAGCAAAGTCAACGGAGGAAGCCAGATCCACTTAACAGCCGTGCTACTAAATGAACAACTGCAGTGATTCACTTAACAATGGTGGCATGTAAGGTCGTAAACTGGGGCAAAATTCGCTGAGCCGCTGTCTTGCTTAGCAACGGAAATACAGCCGGTCGTGGCCATCAGCCTAGGAGTCTCTGCCAAAGGCGAAAAGGATGTCAAACCGTTTCTGAACTTTCCAAATTTAGAATTTTCCGGAGGAAGCAGAAAGAGGGGAAGTGGACGAGGAGGGTGTTACAGCCAGGAAGGCTTTTGCACCGCTGGGGTTGTGTGTCCATTGTGTCCTTTCCTGGATCAGGGAACCCTGGGCAGAGTCCCACCTGCTTTGCCCATCTCCTGGCTGGATTACTGCAATCTGCTCTTTGTGGGGCTGCCCTTGGAGAGTAGGCGGAAGCTGCAGCTGGTTTATAAGGTGGCAGCTGCTTCATTTGCACCAGGGGCATCGTTCCTTCAAAGCAGGGGTCTTCCAACTTGGCCCTTTGATGACTCGTGAACTTCAACTCCCAGAATTCCTCAGCCAGGAAGCTTTAAGACAGGGGTCTTCCAACTTGGCCCTTTGATGACTCGTGGACTTCAACTCCCAGCCAGGCTTGCCTGGCTGAGGAATTCTGGGAGTTGAAGTCCACAAGTCCTAAAAGGGCCAAGTTGGAAGACCCCTGTCTTAAAGCATCCTGGCTGAGGAATTCTGGGAGTTGAAGTCCACAAGTGATAAAAGGGCCAAGTTGGAAGACCCCTGCTTCAAAGCCACTTTGGCTGCCAATCTGCTGTCAGGTTCAACTCAAGGTGGTGGTGGTGGTCCCCTGTGAGACCCCTGCTATTTGCAGGACCGCCTCTGGGATCAGATTTCCCATCCCAGCAGGTCCAGCCAAAGAGGTCTGCTCTGGGTCCCACCCGTTATAAAGTGCCCTTGCCCTATGGAGCATCAGCCCCCCCCCATAGATTAGATTGGCCCTTAGGCTGTGGTTATGTTGTATGTCCTAAAGATGGGACTGGGGGGTGGGGGGGTTGGAGGATCAGTTAGAGCAATGTTTCTCAAATTTGGCCACTTAGTCTGGACTTACTAATTGACTGCTAATTGTCCTGTTGGGGAGGAGGAGGAGGGGAAGAAGGGAGGGAAGGAGGGAGGAAGGAAGGAAGGAAGGAAGGAAGGAGGGAAAGAAGGAAGGAAGGAAGGAAGGAGGGAAAGAAGGAAGGAAGGAAGGAAGGAAGGAAGGAAGGAAGGCCTGGATTTTAAGAAGGGAAGGAGGGACGGAGGGAGGAAAGATGGAAGATGTGAGGAAGGAAGGTCTGGAGTTTAAGGATGGGAGGGAGGGAGGGAGGAAGGAAGGAAGGAAGGAAGGAAGGAAAGGGAAAGAAGGAAGGAAGGGAAGGGAAGGCCTGGATTTTAAGAAGGGAGGGAGGGAGGGAGGAAAGAAAGATGGAAGGTTTGAGGAAGGAAGGTCTGGAGTTTTATGAAGGAAGGATGGAAGGGAGGGAGGGAGGGAGGAAGGAAGGAGGGAGGGAGGGAGCAGGAGTTGAAAAGAGAAAAAAGGGGAAAGAATGGGGATGGACTAAAGGAACAGTAACGGGGAAGAGGAGGATAAGGAAGATGGGGGAAGTATCCAAGTTGCTAGTCCTCAGCCAACTGGAAATGAACCCACCCAGCTGCTTGTTCAAGAGAGTGAAGCGTTATCATTTGAGGAACTTAAGTCTTCCTTTGTAAGCTTGTGACAACTTCGCAATTGCTCTTCCTGAGAGAAGTCCCCCATACACACACACACACACAAACTGAAGAAGCCTCAGCTCCATTACAAAAAACCGCACGCAAGGCTGCTTCCTTGTGGGCTTGCCATTTGTCCGTGTGGTGTTTGTGTGTGCACAGAAGCAAACACAAGCGGAAAGAAGAGAGATTAGCAACAAATTGTTGCTGGCATCTCAGCTCCGTCATTTTGGCTTTCTGCCACCCCACCCAGTTTCCACGGGCAGAAAATATTTCCAATTAATATACTAATCTAAGCATTGTCGACTCTCATTTGGGGGGGGGGGTATTTATTTACAATTCTTAAAAAAAAACCACATTCCTGAGCAGATTGAAAATATAATAACCCTCCAAATCAGTGTTTCTTAAAATGTGGTCTTAGGATGCCTGGGGTGGGGGTCCCTCCAGACCCTCTCAGAGGTCTGCAAACTCAGAATTATTGGTCAGCCCATGTTGGAAAATAATCCAATATCAAAATCCCATCGAACAATTGCGAAAAGCAGCACCGTGTCAGCCCTGCAGTAAATATCAATAAATATAAACCTTACGAATGAAATATCATTTGGCATCTTCCATGATGTATGAAACTGGGAACGGGTGGGAGAATTAAATTTTAAAAAGCTCTGATCCCAATGAACCCATTCTTACCTATCTGGTCCTAGAAAAGAAGAGACTGGATTCTGCACGAGGCAGAAATCCAACAGGTTCAGTTCCTATCTCTGGGAACACATATTAGGATGTGTTTCATTTAGCACTGCCTGGCTTAAATTAAACGCCTCCGAATAGCAGCAATGCAAAAAATAAACAGCCTATTTTTCTGCCTCTCGTCTAAAAACCAACCTGTCCGTCAGTTTTGATCTTGTCACCAGAGGGGCCCTCTGCACATGCTCTAAAGCCCTCTCAGCCGTGAGCCAAATGGTCCTATTTTAAGGTTTGGAAGGACGTTTATTAAGATTAGTAAGAAGATACTCACTGACAAGTGGGTTTTTAACGATGCTTGATTGCCCCAGATTTCTAGAATCCTCTGCAGGGATCTTCAGTGACCGAGTTGAGCTGGCAAATCCTAAAAAATTGACGTGATTTTGGAGCCATGCAGCCTAACGCAGCCTCTCCACCGCAAGATCGGCAGCACGGAGGAAGAGTAAGGGTTCCACCCAGTGCAGAGAAGCCTGGAGTATCTCTGCCAGCTAGGATGTTGTAAAGGAGGAGGTAGAGGAAACGGTTTGAGTTCCCAGCACGAGAAGACAAATGAGATCAGACGCTCAGCAGTCAGATGTGGGCATTGCACCGTTTCTCTTTCTTTCTTTCTTTCTTTCTTTCTTTCTTTCTTTCTTTCTTTCTTTCTTTCTTTCTTTCCTTTCTTTTCTTTTTTCTTTCTTTTTTCTTTCTTCCTTCCTTCCTTCCTTCTTTTCTTCCTTTCTCTTTCTTTCTTTCTTTCTTCCTTCTTTCCTTTCTTTCCTTTCTTTCTTTTCTTTCTTTCTTTTCTTTTTTATTTCTTTCTTCCTTTTTTCTTCTTCTTCTTTTTTCTTTTTTTCTTTCTTTCCTTCCTTCCTTCCTTCCTTCCTTCTTTCTTTCTTTCTTTCTTTCCTTTCTTTTTTCTTTCTTTCTTTCTTTCTTTCCTTTCTTTTCTTTTTTCTTTCTTTTTTCTTTCTTTCTTCCTTCCTTCCTTCTTTTCTTCCTTTCTCTTTCTTTCTTTCTTTCTTCCTTCCTTCCTTCTTTCCTTTCTTTCCTTTCTTTCTTTTCTTTCTTTCTTTTCTTTTTTCTTTCTTTCTTCCTTCCTTTCTTCTTCTTCTTCTTTTTTCTTTCTTTCTTTCTTCGTTCCTTCCTTCCTTTCTCTTTCTTTCTTTCTTTCCTTCCTTCCTTCTTTCTTTCTTTTAAATAATATTTTATTGATTTTCTCTTTATTACATTTCATTAGTGCTTAGTAAACGTCTTGTCTGGA